ATGTCTATTCTTTAAATACTAACTTATTCTTAAATATTGAGTGAAGTTTTTAAGAAACATACGGTTTGGGTCTTTTTGGAGAAGGTCAATATACAAAAAACTATGTGGTTCGTCAGTAGCAGTTTCATATAAATCATAAATTACTTTCTTGCTTTCGTGTAAGTTGTTTCTTCTAACAATTGCTGATAGTTCATCTTGTAGCAACTCAATTTCTTTAAAATGTCTCACTTTATAAAAGAACAAATGTGTAGCATTTACTCTAATTAATGGTGGTAATGTATTAAATTTCTGAATACTTGTTATTACTGATATACCGTTATGGCGTCCTCTTACATACAATGAGTTTAACAGTTTGTTATGTCTCGCCACCTTAGGGTCATCACTTATATCATCCAAAATAACCAATATGGAAAACAATTTCCTTAATTTGTTTCTTTTACTATATTCTGTTATTTTGTGTTGTGTCTCTATCACTTGTTCTAAATCTTCTGCCTTAAACTCTTCAAATAAGTAAGGTTCTTTTTCATTATCCACCTTCATTTCTTCTTTTATATATTTTTTAACGGGCAACCACACACTATCAACATTGATTGAAGGAGACCAAATATATATTCTTTCAAAACAGTTTTTGTATATATCAAGTATCATATTAATCAATAAAACTGTTTTACCGCTTCCTGACGGTCCAGTTATGATACTTCTGAATGGCAATTTAGGGACGACCTCGTGCTTACTTTGCTTAAAGTCATATTTGATTTCATCAATTGGTTTTACATCAGGCATAATAAAAATAATATTAAAATATTTAGAAAATAATTTAATATTATTTATTGTATGAAAGCATTGCTATGATATGAATGGTGTCTATCGTAGTAGAACAGGCTCTTTCATCAGCTTCAATCAATAAGCATTGAAGCTAATTAGTTTGTATCTCTCTCGCGTGTGCAATGAAAACCCCAAGTGCTGTGCCCCACCAATATTCTATTATGCATGAAAATAATAAAATTAAATAATTTAAATAATTATTTTATCTTATTATTATATGACTGTTATCCATTGTAATTGTTGTAAAAATTATGATAGCAAATATTTATTTAAACATCTAAATTCAAAACATCATCAAAAATTTGTAGAATATAGATGGAATAAAGACGATACAATGAAAAAACTTTACATGAAAAGAAAGACAGAAATGAAAAATAATTTATCTTATTATTTAATATGAAAAGGAGTTATACAGATTATATTAATATAATAAATGAAATGGAGAATATAGAACGGGTTGTCATAACTGATAATAGATGTAAAAAAATATGTTATTTTATTTTAGAATTAATTAAGTTTTTGATACAATATATTAAAAATATAAATATTAATATAAATGCCAAAAAAGAAAAACAAAAAGAATAAGACAGGTTTAAGTGTTTCATCAACTGATGAAGAAATTGTTAAAGAAACATCAGTTATTGAGGTTGTTTGTCCTACATGCAAAGGAATGTTAGAACTTAAGAATGAATTACAAATAAAAAATAATAAATCATGTAAATGTTCATGTATTCCAACAAGTTTCAAAATAAGTAAAAATGATAAGAAAATGAGTATTGATAAAACTAAAGACAGTATCAACTTAGAAACTGATGTCCATAGTATAACTTTTAAATTTGGTAGGCAAGCAACACCAACCGATAATAATGAAAACGAAACACAGGAAACTGTTAAACAAATGATGAAAAATTAGTATTTAAAGAGTAGATTTAACATAATTGCACTTTATAAATTGTATAACTAAATAAATAATTATTTAAATAAATATATAGTAATGTCTGAAAATGAGAATTATACTATTAATGATTTAATGAAGAAGATAACATTAATTGGTAAAAATATCAAAACCTTAAATGATATGATTAAATCCATTGATGACAAAATGAAACCAGTTGAACTCAATGAAGATAAAGAAAAAATCGAAAAGATATTTCAAGCAAAATCTATAGGAAGACCAACGGGTGATTATCCTACAAAGCAAAAGAAATATTGTGATATGTTGAATACAGGAAAAATCAAACAACCAAAGCAACAAACATTAGAATTTTACAAAATTTCAAAAAATGATGATGGAGTATATGTATTATTTGAATAAATAATATCTAAATAATTCTAATAAATGAATTTATTAGAATTATTTAGTGGAACAAAAAGCGTTGGAACCATAGCAAAGTCGCTTGGATTTAATGTGATATCATTAGACTTGAAAAATGCTGATATCAACACTGATATTTTGGAGTGGGATTACAAACAGTTTGACAGAAACCATTTTGATTTTATTTGGAGTAGTCCCCCATGCACTGAATACAGCATAGCAAAAACTAGGGGAATTAGGAATATCGAATATGCAAATAATATTGTCTTAAAAACTATTGAGATTATCAAATATTTCAATCCTAAATATTTTGTAATCGAAAATCCACAAACTGGATTATTAAAAAATCAGGAGTTTATGGATGAGTTTGAATTTAAAGATGTTGATTACTGTAAATATGGATTTAATTATAGAAAGAGGACTAGGCTATGGAATAACATTACAACTTGGAAACCTAGAGAATTATGTAAAAAGGATTGTGGCAACATCAGGAATAATAAACATATTGAAACAGCACAACGGCTACCATCAGGCACTAAGGAAAAATGGGGAGACAATCCAACAATACTTAAGCAGGAAGACCTATACAAAATACCTAGCGAATTAATTTGTGAAATCTTAGTGAGTTTGACGGATGAAAGAAATTAAGTTTGGGGTTTTGGCTCAAACTTGAAATAAACAAGGTTAAAGGGAAGGGCACCAAAAAGAAAAAACACACATGGTAAAGGTGGTAGCCTACACCCCCAAAAGGTGGTAGCCTACACCCCCAAAAGGTGGTAGCCTACACCCCTACACCCCCAAAAGGTGGTAGCCTACACCCCCAAAAGGTGGTAGCCTACACCCCTACACCCCCAAAAGGTGGTAGCCTACACCCCTACACCCCCAAAAGGTGGTAGCCTACACCCCCAAAAAGTTCATTCAAAAGAGTTGCAATTAAATTATTATCCTGAACTGAAATTATAATCATACTATGATTATCACATGTAAAATATTATATGTTATAATTGTAATATATTTATCGTTTGTAAAGATTGAATTATTATATTTTTTCTTGATTTGGTTATGTGCTTTGGCTGTTTGGTTTGAGTTGGTATTGGTAATTACGGGTTTTACTGGTAAAATGTATAAAGAATTATTAGTATTATATATTATCATGGATTCGCGCGATTATCTTTGGAGAATAAATACTAGAATACCTGAAAAGGAATTGGAAGAATGTAAATATGATTATCAATGTACTAGGTGCTTGTCTTGGAAAAAGGTTAATGACTTTGGAGTTAGAAGCACTGGTCGCATATATAGATATTGTATTAGGTGTAGGGAAGTTGTGGATAAAGCGAGAATGAAAAGAATTGAGAAAAAGGACAACCAAAAACTAAGCAATGAAGAAGATGATAAACCAGTTGAAGAATAAGGTTGAAACAAATATTATTAAAGGTGGAAATGTGTTTTAGTCATATTTTTAAGTCTGAGTGAAAAATTCGTGAACAATGAATAAGGTAAAAATAAAAAATGAAGAACAACTGGAGTTTCTGAGAATTGGAAAAAGACTTAAAATACAAAATGAATAAGGATAAACACATAGTAAAATGAAATAGGTTAAGTAGTGAAAAAACAATGGATAAGGTGTGTATCTTTTCTAGGAATTACTTAGAATGAATCAGGTTGTGATTTATTAACCTTATCTAGTATTTGATACTTGGTTTTTCAATGTGTTTTTCATTGGTTGATAGAAAAAATACAGAAATGATTTTCAGTTCCTTCAAATCCCCTTTCTGTATTTTTTCCCCCCCCCTCAGAATGAAAAAAAAAAAAAAAAAAAAAACAAGGCGGGTTTCACCTTCCAGGCAAGTTGTTGGGTTTGCCCCCCCCCCAAAAAAAAAAAACATGCAAGAATGGCCGGTTTCCAACATGTTTTTCCCTGAAACGAGGGTGCCGATTTAAGAAAGCCTACTCCTTTTCAGCTTGGCTTAAAGAGAGAGCTAATGAGCCAAAAATATACTTTTTGATGGAGAGTTGGCGGAGTGTTATGAGACAAGCACGCGAGCCCCGCCCGTTAGCCCGCAGAGTGATCTTTGGCTCGTAACCCAACATGGTTGTGAGCAGTTTTACGCCTGATGGCCAACTGGGGGTGCTCACCCGAGTCTCAGAGAAATGCTACTTCGCTACGTCAATCGGCGACTGTCAACTTCGCAACTGGGGTGGTCAAAGTTCACCCCTCCCACAATGCAAATACATGGGCCCTCAAAACTCCTTACAGAAATAGCCTATTGCCCATTTATGCGGTGAATTATCGGTTGCCTACAATGGAATCGCTGGGAATAATTGGTGCCTTGGTTTGCCAACCATGCTGGGCATAGTGGGTTCCCAGTTGAGTAATAACTCAATGGGAAGGATCCCACCACCAATCCAAACCACAAAATTAGAGCCAGACCTGCTTAAATATTGCCTGGCAGCCACCCCCACCCACACCCACCACCCCAATCACTCACCCACCCACACACCAAACCAGGTTGCAACTTGCACGACCTGTAGCGCCCTAGCACGTGACGTGGTCCCCTCGGCGTCCCGACTGTATACAGTACCGCCTCAACCAATAAAAGTGCGAAAGACTACAAGCTCAATGGACCGGCCCGAAAAGTTCGCCCCGAGTGAGGCACCAAACCCAAAACTCCCCCCCCAACCCACCAACCCGCCCAAACACCACCCCCACCAAACCCACCCAACCCAACCCCCCCTCCCCCCCAGCCTCCAAACGCCACCCCCACCCACCAAACCACCCACCAAACCACCCTCCCCCAGCCACCCACCCACCCCCCCCTACCACCCACCGCCCACCCACTCATCTCGTCTGAGTCGCCGCCCAGCAGAGGATGGCCCCAGGTCACCACCGAGCCATCCACCAAGATCGCCGCGAAGGCGCTCTCCGCGGATTTGATGCGCTGAACGCCCCACCTGGGCCCGAAGTGCGATAATGTGAACCCCGGATGAAGCAGAACCCCTCCTGGATCGCCAGTTGCGATCGTTCTTTTTCCATGCACTTTACCCCAAAAACCAGCAACAGTGGCTGAACAGAAACAGCAACTTGGCTATCCAGGCTGGTTGATTTTTATTGGGGGGTGTCCAATTCCTTTTAGTGAGGAGTCAGACCACTTTTGCAGGGAACACCCCCCCAAAAAAATATATATAGATATGGGACGGCTTTATTAATCCTGGGTCAACATTAGGTAGGGAATGCGGGAATGAACCCAGGGATTCCCTTAATTGAAGTACGTTGGATGGTTAAGGGTCAGTCCAACTCATTTCCTACTGAGCACCAGCAAGAAAAGCAGCCAACCGGTGAACCGGACGGCACGACTCGAGTGTGAAGCTAACGAACCCAGGATGACCTTGGACCCCACCTACAAAGCCAAAATGACCCAAAGACCTCAAAGAACTTCAAGTCTTGACACCCTTTTGGACCTGGACCCGAAAGAACCACCCAGAAAAAAGTTGGAACTCGCAAACCATGACTTTGGGGCTATTTAACCCCTTTTTAAGTTGGCAAATTGAGGGTCCAGGCAAATGTGTTTTGTTTTTTTCAGGCCCAACACCATTGCTTTGGCTCTCGCTGACGGACCCCGGGCCCCCGGAAAACGGACACTGCCCAACGTCTTTGGATTCAAAACCTGGCGACATCTGGCAACTGGAACATTCTCAACATCCACTTTGAGACTCACATTGTACCCAGTGATTCCGTTGGTTTTGTAGGTCACCAAGAACTTCTCACCCCCGCTCCCCCAAAAACAACTAAAAGGACAATTCCTGGTCAATTGTATAGGTAAACAACAGCTTGCCACCGTGAACAAAAACTATAAGTCGAACATGGATCGAATTGCTACCTAATATAGTGGCTTGTCCGGGATCCGCTGTGGACTTTGGGCCCTGCATCTTCAAACACTTGGTATCTAGGTCATAGGCATGCGGTCTTTGCCAAACCCCAGTTGCCCTACACACCTTGGAGGTGGCTTGGAAATTTGGTAGCAAATGTTTGGGACGCCCCCATGGGTTTCTCTTTGTTCGGGCGATACACTTCCGGCGTTGAGCTCTCCAAATGCCTAAGACTCAAAAGCGCTCAAAAGGTATGGGAACCCCGGATTCTGAGTGGCTCGCCTTTAGTTGGTACCTAGAGTCTCCATGACGCTTTTAAAATGGGCCCATGACCCTTTGTTTTTGGGTAATGACCAACGGAGACTCCAGGTACCGCTTTTGTGTTTGAAGGAGAACCAACAGGAGAAACAAAGTCTATTTTGGGGCCCCTCAAAAAGGACAAGCCCAGCCTTACTTGGATGACCCCAGTCGAGTCGACCATCATGTTCTCACTACCTGGAGTCTCCATGACCCTTGAAAAATGGGTCAATGACCCCATTATTTTGGGTAATGACCCCCATTTTTCAAGGGTCAGAAGGAGACTCCAGGTAGAGTTGGCCGGGCCAGGCAAAGAAACGGGCAACCAGCACCGCCGAGGTGTCCAGACTCTCGGAGCGCACTGAGCTTTTTTCCCTTTCAGATCGTAGGCCCGGAACCATGGGTCAATTTCAAGGCACTGTGCAAACATAGGTGTCCTTTTAGGTTGGAAATAGACGGATATCAGGGATATCCCTGGTAGATGATTAAACCACCATGCAGGTAAACCAGGGATCGCCCTCTATTGTTCGAGCAAAACAACCAAAAAGGACACCTATGAGTGCAAAAACGTTCGACGGGTGAAGAAAACAAACTTGAGCCAGAAAAGAATAGCCCAGGTCTCAACATCGGACCCACTCTCCCCTGGAATGAAAGCTGGTCACCAAAGACCCCGAAGCCAGTAAAATGGTCCAAATCCAAATGGCCATGGGTCAGAATCCAAATCGTACCCCCAGTGAACATCCCAATCCAACCACTAAAATCGGTTCTAAAATGGGTGGTGAATCACCTTCCCCAAAACGGGATCTCCTTGGTTTTGACAACCACACCCAAGTAGTTTCAAGTCCAGGAACTCAGGGCGAGTTCAGGAACCCTGCAAAAGAAAAAAGCACCTGGATCGCCATTTTCTGCTTTTTTCCATCCACTTTTCCCCAAAAACCAGTAACAGTGACTGAAAAAGACAGCAACTTGACTATCCAGGCAGGACTCTTCTGCTCCCGTCCTCTCGTCAATGGAACAACAAATCAGACCCTTGGACCTGCACAACTACTCAGAACAACGAGAATTTCCCCCCCCCCCCATTTTGGGGTCAATCATCCATACTTGGTTGACGTTGGAAGGGGAGCAAAAAAATATTGTTTAGCAGTTAAGTGGGGATTTCCCACTAAACCACAAGAAGCAAAAATGCAAAATGTTTCCCAACAACAACCATGCATAGACCCAAACAAAAATGGGTTCAAGAGCCCCAAAATTAGGTGGTAACTTTAAGCGACATCTTTCCGGTTCAAGGAACACAAGTCACTTTGGGTTCCAAGAAACCCGCGGGAGAATTTGGTCGTCCGAGGGGCAATTGGTACTGTACCTCTCTGCTGTCTCCACCACTCATGGAGTCTCCCCAGGTCACACAACCGCCTCCTGCGGATCTTTCTTTTTTGGCGCCAACTGGAAGCTAAAAAAATCGGACACCAACTTAGAATCTCTCCAACCGCCCGATTCGACGGATTTTGGGCCAAAGGTTGGCTTCTTTCGGGCACAGGTCTCCATGGGGTCTGGGAGCTCTGCATAGGGACCAACTTACCCATGCAGACACCAAAGAGCCCTACAGGGCTAGTGAAGGGAACCCAACCCTCAGGGCCCGATTCGAAGGAAGTTGGGGCCAATCCTCAAAATGGGTTATTCTCTTACCCCTTAAACTCCAAGCCCTGGGGAAGTTAATCTTTTACAGACATATAGCCCATGTTACCCAAAAAGTTACGAAAAGTTGTGTTTTTAAGAGGTAAGTATTCTCTTTCGAGCCCTTGGGGAACCGGTTCAGGGGAGATCCATTGGAGGGCGCGGGGGTCTGCATTGGAGGGGTGTCATGTTTTTCGGGGATGGTGGTTTTGCTTTTCTTGGGTGGTGTCCCAAATCGCGTGTTGACCCCAAATAATGACTGGTATTAGACAAAAAATGGTTGTGGGGAAGCTTCCAAACATTCTGAGTCTAGGGATCCTTCTTCTTTTCAGGAGGACATCAAACACCCAGGGGAAACAAATGGTGATTGAAAGGACCGATGGTTGAGCGCAGGGAATCAATCCCTAGAATGTGTCTTTTTATTGTTATTTTTTCTGGTGTCCCGAATGACATGCTGACGCAAAACAAGAAGTGGTACCCTAAAAACACACATCCAAATCAGATGTGCTGATGCTGACAATATTTCAGCAGCCCTAAAATAGAACAATTGTTTTGCACACCTCATGGCAGATATTGGGCGGGTGTTGGTCATACCATGGCTAGGACTTTGTTTGGTGGCCATCTGATGCTGGCACAAAGATTCGTATACGTGATTGCAATGCTGGTGACTCTGCCAATGGTGCTGTTTCCACATCTACTCCATACATGGAAGAACCACCCATCCTCTAAATCTAACAGTTTCCTTCTCAATTCCAGCTGGGGTAACTTGCTTGCGTGGCTTGGTTTAGGACCTCAATGCAAGGCCACAAAAGGGCCCTTCAATGGAGAACCCAGCTCTTGACATCTTGTGTCTCAAAACAGGACAACAAACAATTGCAAGGAGGACATGGCAAGGGTTTCCTTTTGGTTTCCCTTTGAACCAACCCCGAAAAGCCTACCCTCGACAAAACGACGTGCCCGTCTGGAAATGGGGGAGCCGGGCCCTTTTCTTTCACACCCAAAGGCTCAGGACTGCCTACAAAAGGATCTGTCGCTTCGAAAAGCCCGGTGGATCCATGTCGGGAAAAACAAAAAGGCACTCAACTGCCCCAAACAACCTTGAAATAATGGTTTGACTTTGGGCACCTTCAAGAAGCAACCAAACATGTTGCTTGATGTTAAAGGGGTTTCCTCATCCCCCAAACATACTTGAACACAAAACAACTTGCTGGACCCTCAAACTAACCTCACAAAGACAACTCACTCCATATGTGGTGGGCAATAATTGGCAATAAGCCATTGCTATGGATAGTTTGAGGGTCCAGCTAATTATTTTGGCCCTTACTTAGTCCAAAGCGACACACCCATCCTGAAGCTGTCAGATGTTTTCTTTGTCGAATAAACCGACAAGGTTCCCCTTCCCCCATAGAAGAAAAGGTCGGAGTCTACTCTCTACAACTCTTGGCATGGTATCAAACAACTGTTCTTTTGCAGCCCTCCTAGTAAAATGAACAGAAACACAAATGCCCCCCAAAAAACAATCAACTTGCCAAGAACAGTGAAGTAGCTACTGCCAAGGCGCTCACACCCAACACAACACCCGGCGTATCAAAGTTTACCATTCGGGCGGTTCGTCCTTTTTTGAGGCTCGGTAACCCCCTTTTGGTTGGCTTTAAACTGGGAAACCCCAAGGAGATCGAAAAGAAAACCCGGGTGCCACCCAATACATACCGTGGATGGACGCAATCCTGCACAATTTTGAAACCATGGAAAACCATTGTCTCATCATTCTAGGGTTTTCTGGCTGGTGCGAAATAGATTTCGTCCATCCACAGTACTACTCCAAGCATCCTTGGACCCTCCATTGAAGGGATCGAACCGGACCTCCATTGGAAGGTGTTGGACCCCTCGAAAACACTGGAATTTCATTCCAGGGTCGACGGTGCAGGAAGTCGGTCCATCTACAATCTGATTTCAAATGTTGACCCACATGGGAGTGGCTTGCAATTCAACAGCTGGGGGCGTTAGTCTGTGTTTCCATATATACCACCAGGCTTCATCCACTGCTTCAAGGTGATGTTGACCCTGGATTCAGAACCTTTTGGAAAGTCATCGGCCAACACCCACCCTCTGGAAAGGACGGGCCTAGTTTAGTCCGGAGTGTCTGCTTTTGTGGAACCTCCTGTCGGACGGATTTGCGAGGAAGCCAAAAGGAAGACCGCCAGTTTTGGGTCCCCCCCCAAAAATAAATACATAAGTGGAACCGAAGCCGCGCAACTTGTGAGAGGGAATCCAACACAAAGCCAACCAGCACTTGACTATAAACCAAGGAGTTGAAGAAACATATCAGGAACAATTCCCCGAGGTTTGGGAACCAACATTTGTGGTTGAAGCAAAGAAGCAACTTTAAAAACAGCTTCCCGGATTGGTTCCTCAGCTTGGCAAAAAACCTTAGGAACCCTGGACAACCAAGAAGCCTACAAGAGACCAAAGTGGATGCACAAATCACCGAAGCCTTCCTTAGTGGACAAAAATGTCAACACAGCCCCCCCTCCAAAACAAAAAAGCACAGTTGTCCTATCCAGAAACTTGATTTAGTACTTGCTTTCAACCCCTTCGACTCGGATCCAGCGCCCGGCAAGCGTCCTTTACGTGCGTCCCCTACGTGCGTCCCCTGCCGCGTCTGACCGACCCCCAACCGCCCCAACCCCGCCTCGCACGAAGAGCGCAAAGGCTCGCTTCGAGGCGGCGATGGTGGGGCTCTGTACCACAGCGCTCACCAAATCCCCGTCTTTGATGCCGGCCTCGCGCGACCAAAACTGACCGCCTGCTCGAAGAACCTACCCCAACAAAAAGTGGGGTGGGCGGCAAAAGCCGGGTTTTGCACCCAGGTGTTCGGTTGAAGAACCTGGCTTTGCTTAAAAACCGTACAAAACTCGTATGTCCCGTACGCTTTTAGAAACCCAGGATTCTCCTCTGAAAACCAGGTTAAGGCTCCAAGGCCCTGTTTTCCACCTGCAAAAGTGGGCATTTCCAATTGAACCCAGGAAGTGCAACCTTTGAATAGGACATCTCGTGCTTCTCAAGCTCTCCGGTATCCATCCCTTGCTCCAAAATCCAGCGGTTCCGAAACCTCGAGGGGGTCATTTCGGGTTGATGACAAAAATCCTCGGCGATTGGCACCAGTTGGCAGTTTCTCTCAGTTCACGATTTGCCCATCCCTAGTGGTGCAATGTTTATCCACAGCGCCCAACAGGATCTCGTTTTCGAAGGCAGTGCCCGTTTTGAAGCTGGCTTAAGGCGAACTACTGAGCACGCTTTTGAGGGCTCCGCTACTTGGGCTTCCGTTTGAAGCAGTCAATTCGGAAAGGAAATCACGGCGAAGCTGCCCTTGTCCAAATCTATTTTGTGTTTATGCGGGGAAAGCACCAGGAGGCCCTTGCCATCATGGAAACATCCCGGCTAGGTGGAGTCCCTGGAGGGCGGTTTTCCTAGAAAACCAAAGTTATTATCCGAGACGTTGCTCCTTGTTTTTTGCTTCTGTAAGGGGGGGAGGGGTTTCCCTCCTCTTTCGATGTGTTTGCGGGGAGCGTGAGGGGCCAGAGGTGACAAGGACCAGTGCAATCCCCAGCCCTAGCAATTGAACAAAACAGAAGCTTTCCACGAGGAACATGTATCTTCGTATTTTCCCGCAATCCCACTATGATTGATCAGATTTCAGCATGTCCAACACCACCTGGACACTCAAAACACCCCTCACAAAATGGCTGTGGCTCAAAAAACCGGTACCAAAATGGAACCCTGGTAAGTGGAAACATGGACCAAAACCTGCGTAACCCCTCCTGTTTAATTTTGAGCCACACCCAAATTGGTTCTGGCGCCAAGATGAGGGTTCCCTTTTGTTTCAAGGCTAGTTCCTTCGATCCGACGAGCGCCCAATTCCGGGGGCCTCAAGGTTGAGCCACCAGACACTCAAAGCTCTGGAACTACATTGGATTCCCTTTAGGGCCCCTGGTTTTGGTGAGATCCTTTGGATTCCCATGCGCACCCAGACTTGTTAGCGTTCCAAGGGCAGAACAAGGACACAAGGTGCTTTTTTTCCATGTCTGGGAAACACACCCTGAATGACCAGCCCACTGCCATGGCCTCTCTCATTGAGTCCAGTTCCCTGCTTTTGTAGCCAAGGGTCTGTGAACGACCCCTTTTTGCCCTCCAAATGCAATCCTTAAAGAGTACCAAAAAACATCTCTGGGCAGGTAACCAATGGCTTGCCAGCCGATATGAAATCCCAAAGGAAAAATGGGTTGGTTGCCGAAAGCCAAAAGGAAAAATGGTTGGTCACCTAGTGGAATCAAAGGATCCAAAGTGACTACTCCACCAACAACCATCTTGATCAACCCAAATCCACGCGGGTTCTATGTTCGGTACTTACTTTGGGCCCAGAATTCCCCCCTCCCCCCCAAAACACTCAAATCAAATGCTAAATGGATCCTCAGTCTTTTTGGTCGGAAAATATGTGTCCCGCCCAAACATTGGTGATTCAAGGAACAAAACAAGGGGAAAAGGGACCTCCATTGAAAGGGGAAGGGACCTCTGTAGGAGGTGTTGGACCTCGAAACGGATACCTTTTTCAGGGTTTGATGCTTGGAGCAGATGGCAACGATCATGCGGTGCTCCATGAAAAAGAAAAAACACGATCCGGACTCTCCAAACCCTTCATGTCCAAACAAGGTTTGCTTTTCAAAGTTTGGGAGTTGAAATGAGTTGAATGGTTGGCTGTCTTAACTATTTCCCTCTGAAACCCCAGAAGAGTGTACCTTGAAAAACAGCTGGTATATATATATATATAAAGCCGGCAACAAGAACAATGCTTTCAGGGGCTACCAGGGTTGTTGACCAGCCATTCGAGTCACAATCAACCCCTGGTCAAAATGGTCGTAATCCCAGACCAATGCGTCAAGAAGAAGAAAAAAGGCGGAGATTTCCGCAGCAATTTTTATGGCAAGGGGACTGTCCCTTACCTTCCAGTCCTTTTGGTTCCAGGGAAATCACACAGTTTGGGTGTGAAACGATACCCCGTTCATAATGCTGACCCCGGATGAATTTAAACCCCTGTTGATTTCTGTTGGGGGGTGTCCCTTTCTTCGGGGATTCAGACCACTTTTGGAGCCAAACCCACCCCAGAAAAAGATAAACATGGATTTCAATTCCTGGGTCAACATGATTGGAAGGGACTCTGGGGGCTGGAGAGGCCGGGGGTTGGCGCCCCATGCAACCCGGGCTCTCCAGAGTTGCCACTGGGCATTTGGATCGAGAAAGTTTCTCTCGCCTCGCTCAGAGGCAGCAGGTTCTCCAGCGCTTTCCCCTCCTTCACCAGGCGCAGAAAGCTCCGTTGGAAGCACTGCTGCGCCGCGATCTTCAAATCCTCCAGAGGTGCTGCGCTTTGCTTGTGTCTGCTTTTCGCTGGGTGTTCTGGTTGTAAGCCTTCTTTGGTTCCTTGCTTTTTGTGTTGGTTTGTTTGTAAACTAAACTACCATGTCCTGGCAGAACGTTTTCTAGCTCCCTGTTGGAAAACCAACTTGGACAAACGCTTCGAGTCCGGCTCCCTTGCAAGCAGCTAAAAAACAGACGGCATCTGGCGCAACATCATCGGGCGCAACATCCTGAACCCCTAAAGGCAAGCTTCACGCTTGGGGTAGGCATGGAAACTGCTTTAAGCAATGTTAAGACTTGGGTGTGTTGTTTGTGGGTCCATTTTCTGGGGGGTGGTTCAGGATTCACCCCAAGGTTTGGGGGTCTGAATCCCCATTTTGACACACACAACCATAGAGCATTGCCATCGCGACTCCCGAAAACTCGATCCCTCCGAAACCAACTTGCTCACATTACGCAATTCGTCGCGAGCACTCACAAAATGAGCATGTCTGGACCCTCAGAATTCCGATAAGAATGGGCTACTGCCCCAAAACAAGTTGAGCAAACTCCCTTCTTTAGTTGTTTATGGGTAGTTTGAGGGTCCAGGTATGTCAACATCGGAGCAATGACATTTTTCAGGGGTGGTTGCCCATTTAAGAAATGGTCTTTGTTTGGCACCTCTGACTATAGGGTCGTTTGAAAGCAGGTACACAGGCTCCTTGTTCTTTTTTTTCCTGTAAGAGCCTCCCAGGCAAAAGTTCATGACTTGGAGGCATGCCCACTTTGGCTCAAGGATAAGACATAGCATGTGCTGGCGAAGAATGGCGTTCCCTCTGTGCCCGTCAAAGGTCAGCCTTGCGGGAAACTCGGCTTACACTGGACCAAGCAATGGTGTTCACTCGCCATGGAAAATAACATCCGGCGCCCTGCGGTGTGACTTCTTTGTTTTAGGTTGGAAAGGCGATATACGTTTTGTCTGGGGCAAATGCGAACACCGCATGCGATTTGATCGTGGCGGATCTTTTTCTATAGGACCCCCTAAAATCGCTGGCTTTCCTTTTGGCGTGCCGTCAAAAAAAACCCACCCCAAAAGGGTACCCTCAAAGGCACACATCCATGTCCCAACATAAAGGGCACCACTGGATGCCAAGTGAAATTTCTTATCACCTGCGCCCCGGACTCCGGGCTCTGAGCAAGGCTTGACCTAGCCACGAAACCTTCCAAATGCCAATGCCTAGAGTCTCCTTCTGACCCTTTAAAATGGGGTCATTACTCCAAAAACAAAGGATCATGGGCCGAATTTTAAAGGCTCATGGAGACTCCAGCTCGATTGGGCTTGGAAAAGTGGCGCAGGGAATCCTGGCTTTCAACTCAGTCCATGCCACACACGGGGGTTGAGACTAACCGATCCAAGGATCTCCGACACATGCGTCCGGCGGCAGCGCCAGAGAGCATGCACTGCCACTGGGCAGGTGGACGTCCACGTGAAGCAAAGCCGCCATTGGCGGCTTGTTGCTGCTGCTCCCTTTGCTCACCCGCACAAGCACGAAAGGGCGACCGCGGTTCACCAGCGGTTGATTGTGA